TGATGAAGTGTAATCAAGTCTACACACACACACACACACACACACACACACACACACTCACACTCACTCAAACACAAGCACCTGGCAGAGTGTGGCTCCAGGCCACCAAAATCCAGGCTAAGGAAGTATGGAATGGAAGTTGGTCAACAGAGAATCAGGCAGTAGAAAGAAGGACTCTCTCACCTAGGGCTCACATGGAGACAAAAGAGGAAAAAAGGCCAGGCTTCACCACTGTCCTGGTTCCCAAGAGGAATGTTTGATGTGGGAGTTAAATCTGTGGCCCCAGAGCCAGACTGCTCAGACTCCCATCTCAGCTGGACCTCTTTCTGGCTGCGTGGCTTTAGGCAAGTTATTTCGTCTCTCAGTGTCTTGGTTTCCTCATCTCTATTTGGAGATAATGATAGCATCTCCATCACAGGGGGGTGGTGAGGGTTTAAGGAGTTAGTAAATGTAAAGCACTTGGAACAGCGCCTGGGCCACCGTACGGACGAGCCATAAAAGCGCTGGCTGTTACTATTATTTCGCTTCCAGAGGAAGAGCCTGCCTGCCCTGCCGTGACAGCTCAAGGATGGAAGCCCCTGGGATTCGGGTGGGACACATTTCAGAGACACCAGCACTGCTGTGGAGACATGGGTCCCACCCTGGGGGAGGAGAAGGGAAGGCAGCGTGTTCCACAAAAGCCTCGAGCCCCAACTGCTACGCACGGGCTGCCTCCACCGAGGAGTTCTGATGTCAGCAGATAATCCTCGCACTGAGGGGGGCGCTCTGAGAGGGGCCCAGTGCTCGGAGGGTCAAGCTCCCTCCAGGCTTTCAAGCTCAGCGATCATCCATCGAAAGGAGTTGCTCAGGGAAGTAATGGCCCCCAAATGTGCAACCCCTGCTCCTCACTCTACCCGAGTCTATCGGCGAGACTCACTCCAGGAACCCAACTGATGGGAGAAGCAAAGGAAGGCATCACTGGGTTTCTGTGTCCTAAACAGAAGCTTGACAACTGAGGTTCTTCCCACTGAAGGAACCAGGAATCTAATCTTATCAGAGGTCCCTGGCCAGGAGAGTTTGTTAAGCCCCTACTACGCTTGAGCCACCTGGGCGCTAGACACTGAACAGCAAGATGCTGAATTAAACGGAGTCCTGGTCTTCAAGGAACTTACAAGTGAGCGCTCCAGCCGCTGTCGCCTGGCTGCCTCCCAGCCCACGCACTCATACACACAAACCCCCCAGAGGGAGAGAAGGGGGCGTCGGCAAATACCAGAAAGCTCTAGTTTTTCTTGGTTCCTTTTCTGGGAGATACAGTTCTCGGTCTGCACTCGCCTCACCCTCTTCTCCTCCCTACCTCCCTTCTCATCCCCCCCCTCCCCGGTCCTCTCTGTCCTTTCGCCCCCAGACTCTGCGACCTTCTTGCCTCCCCATCTGCCCCTCCCTCCTTCCCTGTCAACCTGTCCAACCGTCCTATCCCATTTCATTTCCCCTGGTTTCTTTCCTTGACGCCCCACTCTCGGGGCTCCCCACATGCCGGGCTCCCCTCTCCCCCACCCCCAATCTCCCGAGTCTTCTCTTCCAGCACCGGGGACAGCTCCAGCCCCCGGAACAATGGACCCCACTTTAGGGCTCCTCTATAAATTCTCCATCTTAGTGCCTTGCCCAACTCCTGACTGGGGAGTAAGATGGGGGAAGGGTTATTATCAACAGGACCAGCTGCTCTTCTGGGGGCGGGAAGGGCGTCGGGGAGGATGG